ACAAACACACACACACACACACACACACACACACACACACACACACACAAACGTCGTCTTTGAGCGCTTCCTTAGAAGAATAACATGCATCATTTACAGTGTGGCAGGTGTTGTAAAATGTTAGTGCACATTCGGGCGAAACCTGACTGCAAACTGCCGTTTAATTTGTCAACACTTTCTGCGTTTATGGACACAATTAACTTACACTCGCTTTAAGATCTGACAAATATAGTTTTTTCTAAGCTTTACTTTTACTAAACAGAGACTGCACCAAGTTCGAATGTAATATAATATTGTTATATTGTAATATAGCTAAGAAAGATCTCAGTAGCCTTTTGCAACACCGAGATCATGGGTTCGATTCCCAGGGAATGCTTGAACTGAAAAAAATATACAAACCGAATGCAATGCAAGTCGCTTTGGATAAAAGCATCTGCCAACTGCATAAATGTAAATTTATTTTTTTCTGAAATGGCTTCATAGGGTAAACAGTTGTAGCCTAGTAAATTGAAAAAAGTAAAACACATTTAATCATTTACTTTTTTATGCACCAATATAAACGGTACATCATAAAAAAGGGAATATTTACCTGCAAATTATTTTTACTAAAACATTTAAATTAAAAAAATGCCATGTAGGGACTTGGTGTCAATGTAAAAGAATCGTTGAATTAAGTTAGTTATCTTTATTTCTATAGCGCTTTATACAATATAGACTGACATCATGACATTTTAAATTATGAATATCATTACTTAACATCTTACTCAATTTAACATTTGAACTAACCTTGCTAAAACAAGTTTTAATATGAATAATATTATAAATGCATTATAAATATAAAATAATATTATTTTATATTTTATAATAATAGTTATATATATATATATATATATATATATATATTCATTTAAACATTTTAAAATTATAAATAAATGAATTTGTGTTTTATGTTCAGCATAAGAAAGTTAGTTTTTGGGTGAATTAGGCCTTTAAGGAACTAAACTGATCAGCAACTCTAGCAACTAACTCTTTTTGCTATTAAAGTTTAAATTAAATGCACTGGACTTCTGAACCCTTACTTTTAGATTTCACAGAATAAGGAGTCGTCAGTGAATGAATGAATGAATTAAAATTTTTTTGTATGTAGTTTTATTTGTGTTTTGTTGTTGTGAGGACTATTTGTGCTGTTTGTGTGTTGAGCCTTTTGTCTGAAGACAATTTTTTACCCCACTGGGGATAGACAATAAAGCTTTTGAAATTGAAATTGAATTGTTGTTTTATTTGGTCTGGGCAGGGTTTTCAGGTGCTGGTGGAGACGGAGTGGCTGGATTACGGTCATAAGTTTGCTGAGCGCTGTGGTCACGGCGAGAGCGCAGACGATCTGAACGAGCGCTGTCCCGTGTTCCTGCAGTGGCTCGACTGCGTTCACCAGCTCCCGAGACAGTTCCCCTGCTCCTTCGAGTTCAACGAGGCCTTTCTGGTACTCACTGTCTTTGTTTTGATTAGTGCTCGCTCAGATTCATTATCGGGCCCAGTGGGGTTGATCTTAAACATACATGTTTTCTAGTAATGCAACAAAATTAAATTTTTTTTTCAAAACACCGGAAATACAGTTTATTTAATAATAGGGCTATGGATGTGGCGTGCTAATTTGGTCCAATTTATTATGTAGAATATAACATGTTAAAATAAAGCAATAAGCCCCAAGAAACTGTGGTTTACAGTGAATTTATAACAGCTAAGGGGTGTTGTTAGGCACTGTTATAAATTCACTGTAAACCACAGTTTCTTGGGGCTTATTGCTTTTATAAAACGGTTATTACATATACGTAGTAAGGTTTCACAAAATAAAACAGAGCAAATAAAGTGTAATGATATTAATAAAAACAGTATTCTTCCACCAAACAATGTAGCTCCTCAGAAACAGTTGTGGTTGTAACAAAGTGGTTGCCGAGCAACACACAGAAGTAAACAAAGGTGTATGTTACTTTGTAGAGTCATTTACAACAGCTTTGAACGCGGCTCAGCCAATCAGAATCAAGCACCGGAACTATCCGTTTTATAATGATTAAGGCATTTAATGCAGCGCCCCATCCAGACTTGTCTGATGATCATGATGCAGGACGACTGATTGTATGATAGAGTCTATTGGAATGCAGTTATTTGAGCCTAAAATTCAAGATATAAGGCAACAAATTCACCCTCTTATATTTATATCATATAGTTTAGCAATATCGCACCAGCAAGAGTGCTGTTTTTCCCCAATATCTGCACGACTGCACATGTGATATTGATTTAATAGTTCAGTAAATAAGATATTGTGCCAGTTTTAGACACAATATTATCAATATTGTCCGTTTTGCTCAGTTTCACAAACGAAAGTAGTTCAAAGCCACAGAAGAACTGCTGTGCATCTCTGATCAACACACAACAGAATGAATCAGCATCTCTGATCTGATTTGAGTGAGCCAGTGATTCATTGACTCGTTCATAAAGACTTGCTTTGTTTCTGAATGAATCTGCTGTTTGTACAAAACGTTTGATTTATTGATTTAGCCAGTGACTCACCGCCACCTACTGGCGATTTTAGTTTCATATTTAGAGGATAATTTCATTTTTTAATAACCCATTTATTTTGATTATTTATGCAATGTTTCATTTGGAAAATTTCTTTCTGAAGCCACTTTTCGTAATGTCAATTCAATGCTTTTCCTATTGAACACAATAACAAGTTCAAATAATCTTTTGGGGTGTAATTTCAGCCCAGACTGATGTGCGATTAATTAATCAGCACATCATGTAATTTTAATTGCTTGACAGCACTATTTATTAATCAATTAATTAATCAACCACTTTTATTTATGCGCAGCTTGTAACGTTAGGTCTCTGACTAACCGGCTAACAGCAATATCTAGAATGTGTCGATGAATAGTGAATGTTTGTCGTTGTTATTACTTGGAGCTATGATAAAGAATAGAGCAATACGTTGGTGTACAATAAGACTGGGTCATCGGACCAATCAGCGCAGATTAGCGTCACGCAAAGGAGGGGTTTGGAAAATGAATCGTTGAGCGAATCGTTTGGGAGTCGTTGAGCAAGTAAGGTAAAAATAAATGCATATTATAAGACAATGAAAGTGTTTTTTGAGACTTTCATGCATGCATGTCAACCTGTTGTTGGGTACTCCCAAAACCAAAATATGAACCTTTCATAACCCATAATAGGGGCACTAACAT